TTTTTTAAACTTAATATAGCTCAATGTAGGTAGATGATAGAAAGTTCATTCAAATGCCAATCGATAGAGAATTCAAAACTGAACAAATGTAGGGTTTTGACAATGTTCACATATCATATGATCATGGTTTTTCAGAAGATCTTTAGAAAACCCGTCTTCTCACTTAACTTATATGTTAGTTTTTTTTTGAGTTTTAAACTTCATTATTAAACTTTTTATAGTTCCTAGAATTACAAATCAATGAAAATATTGTATAAGAATATTCGAAATGTTTCTAACGGCTATATGAACGTACTTCGACTCGTTATGTTTATATGCTATAATGCGAGACACCACCTGCGTACCAGGCCTCGAAATCGGGCCACTTTTTCATGATTCCAACCCGGTTCAAAGCGGGTCTTACATTTTATAAGCTCGCTCGACCCATCGAAATTAAAATCTGGTCCAGTCCGACTCGGCGTTAACTGGAAACAAGTTTTCGGTTCACATAAATTTATCCAACAAAACAGAATTATTTAGCTATCATATCGTAAATCATTGGGAAAATTGTACAAAGGAGAAAATTATTCTAATCATCCATTTCTGATGAAAAATTTTATTAAATAATTTATCCAAGTAACAATAAAAAGAACCAGTACACTTAAGTGAAAACAGAATGGGACAGAAAATTATGATTTTCATACAGAAATCAGATTGGGATTGTTCCTAAGTGCTTTTTGAATTGATCGAATAAATTATACATTTTCAACAGTATCAGGATTTAATGATGATCTTTGTTCATTAATTAGAAGACTACTACCACTAAATTGTCTTTCTACACATCCTGATGTTGCTGGAATTGAATACAATCGTCGGGCTAGTTGAGCTAAATAAGAAAGTTTGTCTTGGCAATGTTGCCAGATAATTAATGGATTTAATTTTTTTATATTGATCATCAATTGACATTTTTAAATACTTGTCTAATTTATCAATCATTAAATTTGTTGCTGTACCATTTGATACAAAAGTTTGATCGTCATCGTCTGGATCAACGAATTGATCTTCAATAGTTCGATGTTTTTTCTTTATTGGTCCATCAATTGTAGACATGGGATTATTCATTTGTTGATGTGCTTCAAAGCCATGTAATTCTGTTAATAATTGTCGTACATAACTGTGAGTCTTACTTTTTTGGTAATCATTTACGAAAGTTAATTTTCTATAAAGTAGATGTAGTAAAGCACCGGCTAAATATTTTGTCCAATTGAAACACGACCATTAACAACTGTTTTAGACATTTAGGAAAAATATCGGTATCCAAAAACAAATTTGAAACGTATGTTTAAATAAATTTTTAGAAACTCTCAGTACCTTCATGTCTGTCATCAATAATTATGTGTTCTCCATTAGAATCAATATCTTCACTTGATAAATGTAGTTTTAATTTGTTTAAGCCAAGATAAACCATGTATAAAGTTGAACGATCACTATATTGCATGAACGTGATTACATCTTCAAGTTTTTTCAATAAGATCACCAAATCTCTCAATTCTTCAACGTTTATTTTATTAATATTTAATTTTTGTTTTTCAGCAGTTGTTTTTGTTGATAGAATCGATCGAACGTGTTCAAATGGTGCTTCAATTGATTGTAAAAGTGATGATAAAGAAATTCATCTGGTAATGTTCGATTGTTGTAAAGCAATAACATGGTTTTGTTTTATTACATAGCTAATGTTGATCTAAAAACGATTTATAACTTAATATTTCATAAAAAAAATAATCCTAACGAATATAACGCATTTTTCGATTGATTTCGATGCCAAAATCAGATCAAGTAATTCTTTTGGTTCAATTGGTAATGATGATAAACTTGTTGTTGTTGCTTCTGGTTGTTTTGAAGGTGAAGATTTTTGTAAACTTCATCAGATGATTTAAGTGCTTTAATACGACGATTTTTTGATACAGTTGTTATTGTTGTCGATAGAATGTTTTTTGAAGGATATTATTGATCTGATGACAAAAGCAAAACAAAACATCTTTACCTTCAAGAGTTGTTTTAATGTTCGAACCTATGTCACATATGAACAATAACTTCCGATTGTCGAAATAATGATCATGATCAAATAAGTTCAGTTATTTACGCATAGCCTGAATACATCAAGAGAAAGCGATATATTAGAAACCGTAAATAGAAAGGATTGACTTACCAAAAATACACCTGTTTCACTTTTGTCATATTCATCATATTCAGAACAGCACAAATCAATAGTTTCAAGTTTAAATTTATCATTAACAAATATGCCAGTTCTACCTATGTATGCAATTTTACGATGTTTATTCGTTCATAGATCAGATGCAATACATAGACAACCATCATCAGCTGGTTTTTTCAAGTTTTGTTTGAAAAAAACTTCGATATTGTTCAGCAAGCACCGCTACATTGCTGTCTACTATTGTAGCTGATACCATAAGTTCTTCTGCACTTACAGGACCACAATATTTTTGACCTATTGAAAAATTCTATACCAATAATTTAAAATAGAATATTTACTGACCACTACGAATTGTTTCATTTACAATATCAACAAATTCTGGATCTTCGATGATACTAAAAGGTCGCATTTAAGGAACAAGACCAAATAACAAATTTCTCCTTCATTTTTTCTTTATCTCCTTTTTGAATAAAAGACAGACTTGGAACCGGTCTGATTTTTTCAGACCGGACCGAACCGATCGGTCCAGACTCTTGCCTGGACCGGTGAAAAATTGGCCAGTCCAAATTCTTGATTTAACTGGCAATAAAGCGGCGCACTGATGTATTAGCTAAACAACCAGTGCTTTCGTGAAACAGTTTGTTACTTTAGTTCTACAAAGACATACAATATCAAACTCATACAATTCTTGGAGCTTCTAATAGCAGTGACTTCTTTTTTAGTCTGTCACGTTTAGTATGCTAATATTCAGAGCCAATGAAGATTTCTTTCAAAAAGTTTCGACTAGGACTTACAGCAACTAGGATTGGACAACAGCAAACTATTCTTTGAGTCTTTTCAAATAATGATATGATTTCTTTGTAATTGATAGATTTAATCTATTCTTATTTGAAATACTTAGTTACTTAACACAGCTGGAATGTATTCTACTCTACAGAGGAATGTTACTGCAGAGAGAAAGATAATGTGAGCTAATCTGCAAGATTTTTACATTAGACTTCCTATTTGAGGTTTATTGATACCTAAATATTATCGCGATCACATGGCGCTACTAGTTAGAAAGACCTTGACAACAGAAATGATTTTATTAAAAATATTTTGTTATGAAAGCATGAGCTTGAATGTTGGTGGTTATTGGGCTTATATGAAAATCAGCTAAGATTACTGCATATGAATGATCCCAAAATTTCAAGAAAAATCTTGATTTTAAATCGACAGCAACTTGTAAAATCTGACTAACTTTTCGTGAGTATAATAAATTCATTCCACATAATATGAGCCTCTGATGGAAGGATGAGAAAGTGTTGGTGAATATTTAGAGCTGGGATTTTCAATACGACTGAAGTTTCGCCAGTAGGAAACTTTCCGAATCAAATCTCTTGATCATTGATCCTATGGAAAGCCTTAAAAATGAGTAAAATAAACAAGTTTTAGTACCCAACAATTTTTTTAAAACCGGTGAAAACCGGCCGGTCCGGCCCCGATCCAGTTCCAAGTCTGATAACAGATTTTCTAGATAAATATTTGTCCATTAATCTTTGATGTACCACTTGTTCTGCACGCGCTGCAGAAGGAACTAAACATTTACGTTCAATTACGTAATTCGTACAATCATCATACGAAATAGTTCAAAAAAAATCACAGCAGCTAACAAAACTGGCAATAACTTCATGTGTACCATCAGTTCACGATTTAGCAAGAAATCCAAATTTATTCCAAACGTCAGATTTAATAAATGATGATAAACTTTTAGTACTGGTACATTGGTTTGAATCAGTAGACATTTTTAACAATTTCTCAATTTGTTGAGCTTGATAATATTCCTTGTTGAAATCTGAAGAATTACATGGACTCGCATTTGATGTTTGTGTTATTGATGAAGGTTTATTTTTCGCGTGAGATTCAAAATTAGACATGATGTATATAACAACAATACAATAATAAAGGAATTATCAATCAAAAAAAAAATTTAATTTAATCCAATTGAAACAACAATATGATAATAAACGAATTATCGATCCAAACAATTTTAATTTAATGGAATTGAAACAAAAATACAAATACAAAGAAATATTTGATGTCCATATCCATCGCAAAGCGATTTTTCTCCACTAAATCAATTATAATTCAACCTAGTGTATATTTATAACATAAAATACTTATAATTCCAACCGTAAGCAAAACCCATATATGGTGATGAAAAAATCTGCGGCAAACTTCGAGAGGGCAGTCCAAGAAAAATATGGGCCCGCCCGGCCCGTCCTAAAAATCTCTTTGGGCTGGATGGCCCATTTCGAGGCGTACTGTGTACACTCTCTACTCTCGTTCCTATTTGACAAGCAGCTGCGTCAGTAGACATCATTTGTGTGAATAAAATGAAAAATCTCACCATGATTTGACAGCATATAAGCACAGCGAATCGAAATACGTTCATATAGCTGTTAGAAACATTTCGAATATTCTTATACAATATTTTCATTGATTTGTAATTCTAGGAACTATAAAAAGTTCAATAATGAAGTTTAAAACTCAAAAAAAAAAACTAACATATTAGTTAAGTGAGAAGACGGGTTTTCTAAAGATCTTCTGAAAAACCATGATCATATGATATGTGAACATTGTCAAAACTTTACATTTGTTCAGTTTTGAATTCTCTATCGATTGGTATTAGAACGAACTTTCTATCATCTACCTACATTGAGCTATATTAAGTTTAAAAAA